GTGGGCGTTCACGCAGTCAACAAATCAATCAGCGCGGACACTCCAGTACCACACCCGAGTGGTTGTAGCCGATCGGTTATATTAGGGCCAGTATGTATGGTGTCAACGCGTGTGTGTGTGTGTAGTAGCAGACAGTATCTGCCAATTAATCGATCAATCAATCAAGAAGATCATAGGTATGCACGGAACACGTTGCAGACAACTGTAGGTCACAACAGAAACAAGGAAGTGAACTCCAAGCAGCGTTAATTTCCATACAAGGTAGAACTGAAATGGGTCTACTGCATTTACTGTCGGGAGTTTTCGATAGGGGTAGTACACCTCGAACTCAGCAAACAGACAGGTTCCTGCAAGGTAATCCCTCCCCCCCTCCCCGTTTGGTTCACATCAGTTAGCCAACTCTGACTTGTGGATCAATGCAATTGCTTGCGTGTGGCAACAGCCACACACGCCGGCAACCGCACAGAACGCGGATCAAACTAAGTAAGGGTAGCCGGGTGCTTCTCAAAGCATGGTGAGTAGCCGCTTCACCCGCACATGTTGCAAAGAATCGGCAATATGTGCGAACGACACCGTGATTTTCCTGCAACAGCTAGAAAGGTGGTCTGAACCCCATCGCATCACTTTGACTGCCTTCTATGTCACATAGAGAAGCGGTTTTTGCACAAATGACCATTTGAGTTCTTCATTTGCATTCAAATTCTTCATCCAAATGAGTTGTCATAAGACAGTAAATGGAAAAAATCACTACAAGAAAGTGCACGGTTAATGGTTGTATAAAATGAAACTTTAATTCACGCTTCATTGTGTCAAGGCTGGTGCGGTGTCCTCGAACAAGGAAAGCCGAGCGACGTTGGCGATGTCAGTTGTAGCGAATTCACTCTTGACACTTCGTGAACCCTTGATAAAGTAGATCACGAAAATGAAACAAAGCAAGCACTCGGTCTCTCGCTCGCACGCACGCGGACACCCATGTTGAACAAAAGTGGATTTGAGCCGGAACTTTGAAGTTCCGTTTATGATTCTTGCATGCATTAGATGTTAGTAATGCGAACTTCCTAGAAGACCAATCAACGTGCCATATCGCATGTTTGTCAACAACAATTTCACCAGCAGTTTTGATGACTACGAATATGTCGACATGTGTTTGCTCATTCTCCTCTGGTGTGCTCTACAGCGGGAAAATTTCAATACGAAAAACGTACTTGTCCAAAAGCAACGGGATCCCATACAATAGAGCTCGACCGTCACTAGCCTGTTCGATACGAATGGAAAAATAGTCCCACAGCATGGCTGCATGAGACAGCAATGTTTCCACGATCTGTACGGCTTGTATGCTACCCGACTCGTTGGCCCCTCTGAGTCGAGACTGAGCCAATTCGACTAGATCCAGCAACGCCACGGGCTCGTTGAAAACTAACTGTGGATGAGAGGTGTAACAACAGCAGGAGACGACAAGGAATGAGAGATGATGAACAAGGTCACCAACATGACCTTGAGAGAGCATTTAGACAATCAGCGCATCGAAGATTAGCATTATGATCATTATATATATATATATATATGGTATTTAAATAATAGATAAATGACTGAGCAAAATTGCCCTCGAAAGAAACGATTGCTTTCGCGGTGATTGCCGCTCGGTTGTTATTCATCATTCACATACATAAACCCGGGATGTATGGCTTTTTCCCGGAATATATCAGTGGCAGTTTAGCGCATAACTTGACTTTTGATGACTCATCAACCGTCACCTCTATATTTCATCATTGGGTATAGAAAAGAGGAAACAAAATAGATGAATACTCAAATGGAGATCGTTCATTGCTGTTGTTTTCTGTCTGAGTTTCACAAAGCAGATATAGTTGATCTTTCTATCGGATCTTTCATTTAGTCCATGTTACTTCTGTGATTTGGGGTGGGATGGGGAGTAGGGTAGGTCGAGTGTCAGGGGAGGTTGAGTAACTCAACAAATTGTTTTTGGGGCGCACAACGGGAAGGAGCGGGGTATGTAGACCAATTCCAAACGTTTCCGTGGTGGCTAGGCTACAATTTGTAATCGGATTTGATCTGTGACCTCGAACCCGATTGAGAGGCCCAAATGCTTCAGCCACACTCACCATGTGATCTGATTCGATGAGGTGTGAAACGATGGCACTTGTAATAGTTTTAATTACACCAGTGTTCAAACAGGTTGGATGATGATCTAGAACTCATTTAGATAGGCACCTGTTTGTGCGGCCGATAAACTTTGCCTCACCGGAGTACGGTACATTAAGGCGATTGCACAATTCAGGAACTGAGATTTCGAGCTTATGCAAGTCTCTCTCGCTCTCTGTTTCGCTTATATACCGAATACTTGGATATTTTATCCGGTTTGGGAATTGTCCCATTGGAAAACAAACTTCTGTTCAACGAGCCACACACTTCAAGGTCCAATTTCAGGACAATTGTCATGTGTCTTGAAGTAAATGTTCGATTCAAGGCCTGAGATGATGATGATGACCCACAAAGAGCACTGAGCAGAGCATGTAGCGAAAAATTTGGCGTCTAATGGGTTCAAGCTTTCGTCCAGTTCAATCGCCAGACACATACTGAATTGCAAAGAATGTGACAAACCTAGGGACGCTTTTCGTGTCTTGATCCGCCAGAAAGGAAGCCGTTTATTACGGGTCACTGAAGCGGCTGCCATTCGACGTTATAAGCCCAATTTGTGCAAACAGACCGAATTTGTGGCTAGCCTCACGCTGCCCGCTGGTAGGTGTCACTGTCCTCCTCCCTCTTCCCTCCCCTCCCCCCACCATGTAGTGATTCCGCTCCCTGCCCCAATGTCCAATCATTAGTGACCTTTGGCCTTGGTATTGATTGATTTCTCTTACCCGTGTGTGTTCGTCTGTCCCCAAACCTGTCACTCTTTTAAACAAACGCGATCTGAATCTATGTACACAGCAGATGAGATTTCCACGAAATAGTTGAATTCAACACATCCTGTGATCACGATGCTTCTTCTTGCTCTCATGAAATTTTTAAAGGGAACTGGTTGCATGAAACCATCCAAAAAAGCTTACAACTTACCTGGATCTCCACTTAGTAGCACAATGTCGTCTGCATACTCTAGACCAGACAGTCTGCCACCTGGGAGTACATCGATACCACTATCCTTGCAAGAGGATAGGGCTGTTTCAATAATTAAATCTACCACGAAGTTAAACAGAAACATCACTTTCTGTAGTGAGCCCAGGTGAAAAAGTGCCATAAGCTCCGACTTGACCTCGGCTATTTGTATAAAGGAATCGTTATATAGGAAGAAGCTTCTCGGGCACACCCTTCAGGCAAAGGCAGTGGCAGAGTTAAGAGTGGTCGACTGAGTCGAAAGCCGCTTCCAGATCAAGGAAAATGGTGGGTTTATGAAAGAAGTGTCTGTGTTCTAACATTTGACGAAAAGTGAAGATGTGATCGATACAGCTTTGACCAGATCTAAAACCAACCTGGTTCTGACGTGTGCACTCTTCATCTGTGGCAGACAATCGACGAAGTATGATACCAGCGAGAATTTTAGAGTCAATGTTGATTAAACTAATTCCTCTGTGATTTTCACAAGAGGACCTGTCGCCCTTTTTGCAAATCGGTATGAGCACCGATTCACACCATTCAGTTAGAACCTATTCCCTTTCCCATATTGAGCTCCGGAGTTTTGTTAACTCTAAACCTCCATTCATAAAACCGATGCGGATAGACCGTCGGGGCCGGAAGCCTTATGCCTTCTGAGATAATTTATTTCTCGGTTAACCTTCATTTCAGATGGAGGACTGATGTCAACTGGCAGTATTTGCACAGTTGAAAAGGGTATCGGGAGGCCTTGTGCAGACAAAAACCAGATAAACTGCCCATCGATCTAGACGGCGTTACCAAATATAAATCCGTGTGCGGCCAGACTCCTTAATAGCATCACAAATACCTGCTTTCCTTGAAACTGTGCTTCGGAAAAGATTGCGACTTTTACCCTCTCCATCCGTCTACACCTTCCAACCCACCACTTCTCGCGGTCATTTCTCAGACTCTTGATGAGCTGGTGCTTAAGGGATTTACGCGCTTTGTTGTATTTCGAATCCGAAGGAATGGCTTTGCGAGCGTCCAGTAGGACAACCAAGATTAGGGGGATCCATTGTTTTTTATTTGACCGTATTCTAGAATCTGTCGTTGTTTTGGCTGACATTTTGATCGCCTTCTTGATTGCCGTCCAGTGCTCACTAAGTCCTCCGGATGATGGTTGAGGTGAAAGGCGATCTGATACTTCCGTTTGGTAGGCCAGTGATTTAGTCTCTGTCACTGGCGTGCTTTGGACCCTATGGCCTGAGATTCGAGCACCATCACCGCCACCCAACTTTGGTGGCATACAGCTGTACTGTCGTCCGGTTCATCTAGCGGGATCTTATGTGGTTCGCCACTCCAAGTACCGGGATATAGGTTACCGGTTTCTATGAGTTTCGCCCGTCTGCTGTTCACTACACTGTGTGATAAAAAATACATTACAGACACTGTATTGTTGACATCCGTTTTCGGTGGCTTTTCGGCGGTTGTTTACTAGACGAAGAGAGAATATCGCTCGTACCAGAGCATGACCCGTGCCTATGGGTGTTGACCAGTGGGAACGGTAGTATTTAATGGATACTCGCCAGCGGTGGCTGATGGCGATATGGTCGATTTGAGTCCAGCGCTGTGAAGAATTTGGTGGTCCCCATGTAAGGCGGTGCTGTTTCTAGTACGAGAATTTCGTGCTAGACAGAAACAGTCCGTGGTCAGCGCAAAGTTGGAGTGGGCGTTCTCTGCTGTCAGTCCGGTTAGCTGGGATTGCATGTGAACCACCAAGTAACCTCTCTGATTCGTCCAGGGATCCTACTTGAGCATTGAATTCTCCAGCGACTACCATAATGTCCGTTGACCTTAGCCAGAACCCTTGAACCTTCCATTTAGATGTATGCTGTGTCTCGGAGAAACGCATACAAGACCATACTTCAACCACCTCCCTGCGTTTCCCAGATCCAACCTCATCCTCACGCTTCACTCTCCGTGTGTCAAGCGATTTGACAACATAAGCTCGCGGAGTTGATGGTGTCCAGATAGCGGTAAGTGTCAAGGTCGAGCGTTCACTTTTTGACTGGTTTCCGGTTAATAGCCAACTATGCGCTGAATGTCTGGATGGTTCAGCACGGGTCAACAGCTACAGTAAGTGATCTATTCGTTGTATACCAATGCACTGGTGGGTATGGGTTAACCAACCATGATTGTTATCTACAGTTACACCCAGATCTTTACCAATGTTAACCCTAAATAATGGATTGTTATTCAACAGTTTGGGGTCTGTCTGGTATGAAGAGCGTGCAAAACCATATAGATATTTAACTTGTTTACTTTGTTGGAAATGTGAACGGAGTGTAATAAATAGTGCTGAGTGAATACCGATGGGTCTGGGAAAGATCACCCAGTCAAGGTCAAGCTGGAGCTAATCAGAGTATTTGAAACAAACAGAACACAACATACATGGACGTACTTCACCGTGATTGGCAAAATTGGTCACGCTTAACTGGTAAAAGTAAGCGCGAGTGAGCGGATGCAGTCGGATAAGTAGCAAATCGGTCTCGTGTTGCACCAGACAACAGGTCCGATCCACACAGCCAACAAATTTGCTCGTACGCAACAGACGACGGGCTTCCGGATCGACTTGTTGTTCCAGGCGCCGGCGCATCTGAAGCACGCTCTGCAATCGGACCAGACGACGTTTGGGCATTGGCGGTAGGACACTTGGCCGATTAACTCGATCCAAGGTGGAGCTCGGACGAAGAAGATCTGGAGAGAGAGAATTTGTATCTGACAGGATGGAATTCTTCAAAGGCGTCGTTACGACCGGTTTGGCAGTTAGTGATGTCGCATCCGTCGAGGAGCGCCGGATAGGAGACAAACAGTCAGACCTGGAAACAAGATAACGATAGCACAGAATAGAATAGACAATGAATACAAGTCAAATTGATTTTCAAAATTACTCTGTAGTTAGGTAACCCGCTTTTTCATCATCTAATGGTCGTTTTATGTCATCGCAGGCAATTCATAACAACGATTTTGAATGAAACTGACAGTTCAATATGTAGTCAAAAATCCTGGATTACTATAAAAGAAGACACTATTTATTAGAGCGTAAATTGGAAAAAAATCAAAATCAATCAAATCAAAATCAAATCAATTTATTCACACATATTCACACACAAAGGGTAAAAATGAGAGAAACAATCCATTCGCGCCAAATAAGACAAACAGGTGCAAATAAGTTGAAACAAATTGTCGGGTAAATTCGGAGCGGTAGCAGCGGGAAGAGACGGAGGCGCGTTTATACCGTGAATTGCGAACGGAATCTCTGGTTTAAGTAAGCCGTGCAAAGGGATTGGGCGCATTCGCAAATGGTTTGGTGAAAACCAAAAAGAGTGAAACCAATTTTCACAATGTGTATACCACGTGATTCTGTGAGCATGGAGAGGTAAAAAAAGGATAAAACCAGTCACACATACGGACTGGATGAATCAAACCGTAGAATCATGATCCGCTGCAAACAAAGAGGCCCATTTCGGGCGAGGGGATAGGAAGGGCCAATGAAAATAAACTTCAGAACAGACGAAAAAGAATGAGGATAATTTTAAAAAATTCAAAAAAAAAACGAGAGCAATGGAGGATTTGATTCGATTTCGGTCTGATCTGCTTCTCGGTGATCGAGTTGGTGGCATGCTTATGTTCTGCCTGAGGTCAATTAGCAGTTAGATCCAGGGCTTCGTGCACTGTGCTGATAAGATTCAACCAGGTCGAAAAACAGCTGTGCAGTACTTTCTAGCCTTTTCAGTGTACGCGCTCTATAAAGGACGAATTCCCGCAAATAAAAGTTCATGTTTATGGTATAAACTTGCGGTAGCGAGTTTATAGATAGGCATCAATGTGGAGAACGGTTGCTGGCATTCTGTGGCAGTCGAAAGAGTCATTGCCTGTCACACTCATACGCCATACTCGGAACGTGACAAACAGGCACTGCCGTCCAGTAGTTATGCGATGTTTAGTTCAATGTGGAGCTTGATCGAAGGGATTTTCAGCAGGCTGAGTACCCGTATTACGGTTCTCTCCAAAGAACAAGCAGAACTGGGTGGTAACACGTGGATTTTCGGATTGTGAATTGGAGGTGGACAATCTGTGATCCAGCGAGATCAATAAATAATTATAAACCAACGTTGAAGGGTATACTAAGGTGTGATGGGTTTCGGGTGGAGAGAAGCTACTTAACTTCAACTAAAAACCAAATGAATTTCTTCACACTGTGATGAAAACAGTAGATGAGACTGACCTGGTCGATACTGCCCAACATCTACGAGCTGAACATCCATTCAGTGATTGTTTCTGGACATTTTTCGAATCTGGAAATTCATATTTTATATTGAATGTATAATTAAACAAATCACATTAAGGAAGGAAATAGCCGTCAATCGGAGAGAAGTCCGATGGCGTAAAACGGAATGGGGAAGAATAAAAGCAGCATATGTATCACTTTAGACTGTAATCATGAGCCCCCTCAGCTTCTGAGTCCAGTTCCACATTGTATTTAGGCTGAGTTTAAGATCCGGATGAACTCTTTTGGAATTCGGGTAGTCGTCTACTCTTATATTTGTTCTGAACGCTAGAGGATTTCGTACTCCAATGTGAAACGTTCTACCTCCCGTTTTACTTCCTGAAAGGATGACACTGAGGCCTAATCACTATACCAGACTTAGGACCTAGAGGCTTCAGTTTCAGTTCAGTTTTCACAACCTTTCACCATGTACATTAGTGTACCGGTTTTGCTCGCTGTCTTAAGATTGTCCAATTGGGTAAAGAAGCAGAATGAAGATTGGAGTGTTGAGAGCGGGATCAAACAGAGGATAGAGAATTCACGCAGACCGGTATTGAAAGAAAAATAAGTAGATGCACGAGCGCTACTGTTTACGACAGTCAACCATATTACTCAGTGTCTCTAATAATCGGTGACCATCATCTCGGGGTCTCCTCATTCAGAGAGCCGACGGGACCGATGCGACCGAGTCCCCTGATCAGAGATTTCGGACCAAGTCTTAGTTTGACCATCCTTCACGTTTTCCCATCCAGTACCTACCTCGGGAAAATATCACGCACCGTGGCAACCTATTTGATGACATGTACAACATATGCCCGCAACAGCATAATCTATGAAGGTTGTCTGCTTAAAAAAACAAGGAAAAAAGATCTCTAGTATGGCTTTTTAAATTTCATTCAGAAGCTGCGAGAATGCACAGAAACGTAATATACGTCTAGCTTTGTGGTATAAAGAAAAAGCTATTAAACTGACCCATGGAGAAAGAAGTTCGCGGGTGGAAAGATATCCGAGGGGACAGTAAAAACGAAATGCTCTTGGTGAGGCACATCAGTTTACGAAGAAAGAGAACGGATTCGGAACCGACTGTTTCAGTGAGATTCACACAATGGAACTGTAGTTAACTCGATGAGATTAATGAATGAAAATCTACAGAAAATCTTACTTGGTTGGGGAGTGGGGCTCAGAGGTGGGTTTTCTCTCTTCCGGTGGACGATTTTCTCCATCTTCCTGTATCAAATCATCTAAATCATCCAGAGTGGGACTAGACGGAGGTTCGTCAAGCGTAGCATCCTTGTTGGATTTGGAAGGCTGCAAGCTACTACTCGATAGTGTGGTGGACGGATGTGATATAAACCGCTCCAGTCGTTGTTCACGGGCATCTGTACGAATTTTCTCATGTGGACGAATCCCCGTAGCTCGGCCGGAGTCATTTACCGAGTCGCGATCCACAGATGAGTTCCCCACGTCGGAGACCCGACCCGGTGTAGTCGGTGTGAGGGAGGACAGATGCAGTGTCTGAGTGAGGAACGATCGAACTTGTGCACAGCTCAGCAAACAATGTTCCACGGCGTCTTGAATGCCCCGGACAATTTGTTCCTTTTCCGTTACCGTGTGTGTATGCGGGGTACGGAGGGGGGGGGGTAGGTGAGAGAGAGAGCAGAATCAGAAGTTATTCCGCTACAGTTCTTTACTGATATTTTTAAGGTATATAACCAAAAATAATTGTTTCCTGCTCATATAGAACGATAAGAAGATAAACCAGTTGTAAAACAAGAGAGCGAACATGCAAGAAATACACATAACAAGTTCCCAGAGGACCGGGCTGAATTTCAGCAATCACTAGAGGGATAGGGTGAATCTGTTAAGATCTTCTATTTGCTCAGTGGATGGTAGAACAGGTGAATACAAAGAGAAACATTTATTTATTTCACAATACAAATCGCGCTTCGTTGAACCGTTTATAAGAAACAACTCACATCAATCAAAAGCGAAAATCATGAGTTAAATAACATAACCAAGGAAGGCTTGATATTTCACCCATGGATGATAAGAACTGTTTTTTTTTTCAACACATCGGGACCAAATGATGTTGGGAGTGTCTCGAAAAATCGATGCGCCATGTGCTGTTTTATTGTGAATGTTATAGTGTTAATAACACTCTCGACAGTCACTTAACATGAATCCGGAAAATCTCGTTAAAACCCATCAAACAGAGTTCTGACGCCCATAGAATTACGACTACTCCGTAGGGGTCTCAATTTCAATCTTCACAGAAAACCCTTGATGGTAAAAGAAGTGATCCCATATTCCAGAAAACGACGCCAACCAAGCACGTTTGAGGATATGTAACATTCTCAAGAACCAACAACCGATTGCTCCGAACGTAACATCAAAAGAAAGAAAAGCACTGACTTTGTCTAAACGAGATTCCTCAATTCACATCACAAGGCAAATATAATTCTCTACCGACATCGACGTGTTATTAACACTATGTATAACACTCACAATAAGAACTGCTTCAATGTCTTTCTTCTTCTTCCTCATCTGTGTGATTATTTTTATCCTCCAAAATTTGAACAAAAGTTTAGTAATTTCGTGGACTCCTCAAAATAAACTCACCTTGTTTCGAATAAAATTGAATTCCAGAGAGGATGGAAATCCGATGAACGTGATCTCCCCCCCCCCCAATTAAATCATGGTAAACTTAGAATAAAATGGGAATTTTATATGGATTTAAGTCATGGAAAGACAACCAATTTCTTCCATTCAATTTTAGGCTTAAATTGCTTCACTGTAAACAGCAATGTCTAGTCCACGTTTACCAGTGTTCCTGTTCTCAATTTTTGGGTGTTCGTTAAATCTACCCCACCCACGTTTTAAGTCCGTTATCAGCGATATAATTTTGTGTACAATATGAGCAACACACACGCATAAATGTTTACACGAGGACCGTGAATAAGTTATTCACTCATCGTTAGCTGTTGAATCATTTGATTCTTCACTTTATGCTGGAAGAATAAGATCACGTAACAGTTAAACTACTCACGAGTAGTGTGAAATAGTCACCCAAATAATGCCACGCCTCACCAATCGGTTTCACATCCCAAAACTCGGTACTCAATGAGATTAAATAAATAAATAAATAAATAAAAATAGCTATGTGGTCCAGCGGTCTGGAATTCGGAGAGTCGATAAACAGGTTTAGTGATGGTTACATTAATTCTCTTTAACAAATATGGAATGAGAAAACTATCGACATGCATCCCAGAACAAGAACCAATAATCCCAAAGGCCATCTCTTGTATCACCCAGAAGCCACCGCAAACAGTTTTTAGATCTGTTATGACTAATCAACTCTTTGAACTCAATTCACGTAAACCACTGGCAGTTGACTGAAAATTCTGATTCCAAGCGAACCAAGAGGCAGACAGAACCACGCCCACATTTTCCTGGTTGTGGTCACCCAAGTGGGGCGGGCACCTTGGATGTTTGGCTTTCGATTAAATGACGTACGATCCGATTAACTGAATGGATACCTTGAATGCATCGACATTTTTGGGGTAGTTAACTCTGAATGACAGTAAATAAACACATCTCGTGGTTCATGGTTTATTAAATGATAGGACTCCCAAGCTGGGTGGTGGTGGCCCGGTGCTAACGTCACCAATTATCACCCCGGAGGACGAGTGTTCGAATCCCACCACCACCGCCTGACTTTCCCCATTTGTGTTGTATGGCAGCCCTCTGATTGGCCGCTTCCCCCTTCCTGAAAATTGTATCTTTGTATATTCAATAAAAGGAAGTAAAATTAAAAAGAAAAAAAGAAAAGCTGTGATTGTGTGTGATCATGGCCAAGTGATAAGATCACTGAATTGTGTCCCGGAAGTCCCGGGTTCAAACCGCGCGACCACTGCCTGTCTTCAGTCTATTTCTGTATTTCCCCAAGCAGACTTTGTATAGACGCAACTCACTTCCTGAAGGTTGACTGTACATTTGTATANTCAGAGAGGGAGAGAATGAAAACCGATACTGTGGAATGTCAAATAACCTGATTTCACAGGAGGCAGAGTAGAATCGGAACGTGGAACGGGGAGTAGTGGTGACAATCGACAAAGTTACAACTCACCTCATGTAAGAAATGCACCTCAGCCTTTGTAGGATGAACATTCACATCCAGATCGCATGCTGGCAGCTGGATGTTCAGATAGACAAATAGAGTGGATGAGGAGACTGGACGCAGTCC